CCAGAGCCCGTTCGCCCAACTTTGGCATGGGAGCTTAAAACCCATCCCCAAATACTAATAGCTTTCCCTCGGCTCTCCCGAGTCCCAGCCAAATCCCGACTTCGGGCTCATCGAAAGAATAAGAAAATAAACCACAATGTGGGAACAGAGCCATCGCCGTGACCTTTCAATCCAAGAGAGTTTGCAAAATACTACTCGGTGGCTTGTTTTGAAATACTTGGTGTGTTCTTACGCTGGGTGCATAACGAAACACGTCTGGATGCTGCCGAGTTCTCGGTCTGTGGCAATGTCTTTAAACATGTTTTACACAAGTTAGTTATTGCCTGCTTGGAGGAGGACTTAAACTCTGGGATCAAGGGCAAAGCGATGCCAATTCTGTAGGAACCATGGCCTGAAATACAGATTTGCCTCATTCATGGGGGTTCACTAATGTCTGCAGGGCGGTGGGAGCCTGTTGGGTTCTTACTGCTGCTGCCTGGTCCAGTCCTCCATGGTGGAAATTGCTGTCTTGGCAACAAAGTGCCAGGAGAGCTGAGCCACGTGTCGGCTAAAAGTCTGTGTGACTTTGGTGGCACTTGTTGAGCCAGGCTGTAGTACGACAACTTCTGCAGGAGAGAAAGAGCCGTTCAGCCTCACAGCAGGCTGCCCGTGCTTCTGTGTTTCAGAATGGATGAGAACTACATCCTCCTGCCACACGGAGTCAACTTCCAGGAGGCAATTTTCCCGGACACCCAGGAGAACAGAAGGATGTTTGCAAGCCTTTTCCAGTTCTCTAACTGCTCTCAGGCACAGCACGTCCTGAGCTTCTCCAGTGACTGGGAGATTCAAGAGGACAACCGGGTAAGGGGCTTTTGGACTTGTTTTCTAAGTGGGCACAGGCATTCCCATGCCATTTGCAAACATATATAGGAATGCAGAGCAGCAGCTCCCTGATTTTCCTGGTCCTTTGGTGGTATCATTGTCAAAGGAACACACTAGTGGGGAGTGAGATGTTAAACTCTTTTTTTCAAAGCCGGTTGCTGTTAACTCTTTAGTTTCCCATGGACCAGAGCAAGGCTCAGTATCATTGAATCATAGAATCACAGAATGGTTTGGGCTGGAAGCGACCTTAAAGATCATCCAGTTCCAACCCCCCTGCCATGGGCAGGGACACCTTCCACCAGACCAGGTTGCTCCAAGCCTCATCCTGCCTGGCCTTGAAGACAGCCAGGGGTGTATCAACATGTTCATGAGCCATACGTTGGAAACCAGCATTGCTTGTGATCCTGTCCTACTCCGACCAGGTTGTTCCTGGTTTTGCTGACTGCAGATCCCATACTTTAACTTCAGCAGAAATGTTCAGGGGCAGAGCTTTGCTTTTGTACTTTTGTCCTTATCTGGTGTAGCAAGAGCGGTGTAGCAAGAGCAGTGCCCCAACCATGACAGGCTGTAAGGGATTATTCTTGCCTAACTCCACGTAACAGCAGAAACATCTACTTCTGAACTAATGGCCCAAAGCCGTCTTTGTAGCAGCTGGGGAAAAATACTCTTGAGTGCACGGTTCATCTGAGCGATGAGGGCACGGTTCATCTCAGCAGTGCTGGCACCTATTTCTGAACAAGCCGAATGAAACATCTCTTTCTCCTCTCAAGGGAGGCTGCAATGAGTAGTTCACTCTCTAGGCGATCCTCCCTTAAGAAAATACATTTTTAGTACGGCAAACCCAGCGATGCCCATTGTTAGTGGCTTCTGGGCCCCTTTATGGGGCTGTAGTGTGTGTAATAAATGCAGGATTTTAATAAATACTTGCTTGGCAGTGAGGAGCAACCTGCAGTTATGTGTGTGCATGATCTGGATGTGCATGTACATTTTCCAAAGTGGAACTTGGAGAGCTGTTTTAGTGGCAACCTTTGTTTTATGAGGCTAGTGGTTTTCACTGGTAGCCAAGAACATTTTAAGCTTCACTTTAGGTCAGGATGGACAGGACATGTATCATTGCTTGTGTCTTCTGTGGATTCATCCAAGGCACTATATTTAGGTATGGCAGCAGATGCACTAGTGGCTTGTTTGGGAGATGGATGGAGGGAGCTTGGCAGCTGGCTGAGCCCTTTCCTTTCACCAGCTGGCCGACCTCCAGCGTTCAGAGTTTGAGCTGCCGCATGGCTGTCTGGAGAGTGACACAACCCTGCTCCATGGGATGCCCTGTGAACCAGTGTTTTCTCACTGCTGACATTCTGGGGAATGGTGATGTTCAAATACATATTTAGGGACAGCAGCAGAATTGATGTATAAGAGAAAATGAATTATCTTCCAATTAAATCTCAAAGCTGGGCAAGAGCGGGGAGGCGGAGAGCCCTGGTCTCAGCCTTGCCTCCTCCCTGCCAGCCCGCACGGTCCTCAACGCCCCAAACAATGTATTTGGCAAGGAAAGGTGCTACTGCTGCCAAATCCACAGATTTTGCTCCAGGGGAGTAATGTGGCATCGAGGGACCACCAGATCCAACTCCCAGTGTCTGCTTGGAATGCCTCTGCCCTGTTTATTTAGCTGCACTGAGTTAAATGCAGGGGATCTTGATGGGTTGGTGCTGTTTATGCCAGCAGTGAATCCTGCCCGTTAGCTTTAATGGAAATCCCAAGGCAGAAACCCCCAGGGTGAGCTGGGGCAACCCAAAGCCTATGTATCAAAAGTGCATTTCAGCTGTTGCGCTCTTTGACCCTGTGCAGCTGTGAGCAGATTAGGGGGGATTAGAGCTGCTGGTCGCACAGACCAGGGCTGGGGGCTTTACATACTTCAACACCCACCCGTCGAGTGAATAAATTCAGCGCAACTGATGGACACTTTGTCTCCCCTTCATAATGAAAAGTAAAAGCTTCCTCTCCACCAGTTAAAAATAGTTTGGGCTGACAGTGCTCCCATTCAGCTCCTGCATCTCTGTTTGCCCTGCTGGGCGCCGTCTCCCAGCTCCTGTGTGCCTCAGCCTGGGAAGGGGATGGTGTTTCTGGCTGTCATGGTGTTAGGAATTCGTTCCCTAGCTCTTCCATGCCCCTGTCCAGGGTACAGCTTTCTTCAGTGTTTTGCTCCGCTCTTTGTCTCGTCAGATCCGATGGTGACTTTCCCAATTGCCACCATATCTGTTCACATCCCATCACAGTGTGAACAATTTCTGTTTCCAAATGCACTCGGGTGAGCTGTCCCATGCTGGCTCCTGAGTTGAAACCTGTGGCATGTGCCAGCTTTGTGGCACAAAATGTGAGCATTACTTGGAGCGTTATTCTTGAAACCTTTTGGAGAAGAGGCTCTTAGGGAGCCTGGGGATATCCACAATGGTGTCAAGCTGCAAAGAACCCAGACAGAGAGAAAAGGGTCTTCTGCTGAGGCTCAGAGTGCAGTGAGGAGTCAGGGGTCTCACAGCTGTGTACTGACATGTCTTGCTAGTTAAAATCCATCATGGATGTTTTGTGCAAAGGGAAGGGACGGAGACACTCAGATCCTCAGAGCAGAAGGCAGCTGGGGTGAAGGTCTGGTGCCAGGAGTTAGTACCTAAGGTTCTGCCTCCGGGTCTTGGGACAGCTGTGTTCAGGGACGTAGCTGAGGTGAGCAGCTTTGGTGCTGGCAGAATCTGCAGCAGAGCACCCCAGCGTGGTGTGCAGGGGGTTTCCTCAGCTGGGGGACTCCCAGGGGAGCTGAGAGCCACCGGGAGCCTGCAGCTCCCACCACAGTGTCTGAGGAGACCTGAGTGGGGCTGGGGGCAGCAGCGGCCGAGCCCCCACACCTATAAAATAAGCCCCTGGGGAGCACTGCCAACAGGGCAGGCAAACAGGGCATGGCCTGCTTTTTCAGGGATAAAATCAGGCTCACTTGAGATAAACCTGAGGGTGGAACGCCAGTGTTTGAGGGACAGTGTTCTAGTGAAGTCCTTCAGTCTGCTGTCTCGGTGGAGGTAGGGGGTGGAGATCCAGGTTGCAGCAAAGATACAAGGGCTATTGGTCTGTTAGAAACCATGGAAGCACCTGAGAATGGTCATGTAGGAATTAGTGCTTCTCCTGCCAAAAAGGTGGCAGGATCAATAGCCCAAAAGAAGTGCATCTATAGCAATTCACGCAGCATGGGCAACAAACAGGAGGAGCTGGAAGCCATTGCACAACAGGAAACATGATAAAGTTTCCATCATGGAAATGTAGGATGGCACACACAACTGAAGTGCTGCAATGGATGTCTACAAACCCTTTGGGAGGGATGGGCAAGGAAGGAGAGGCGGTGGGGTAGCTCTGTATGTCAAGGAGTGTTTTGATTGTCTAGAGATTAATGATGGTGATGATAGGTTGAGTGTTCATGAATAAGGATCAGGGGGAGAGGCCAACAAGGAAGATATTGTGGTAGGAGTCTGCTATGGACCACCCAAACAGGATGAAGAGGCAGAAAAAAATATTTTATGAGCAGCTAGGAGAAGTCTCTCAATCGCTAGCCCTTGTTCTTGTGGGAGACTTCAACTGACCAGATATCTGCTGGAAATGCAACACAGCAGAGAGGAAGCAGTCCAGGAGGTTCCTGGAGTGTGTGGAAGATAACTCCCAACACAGCTGGTGAGTAGCCAACTTGGGAAGGTGCCCGCTGGACCTGCTGTTTGTGAACAGAGAGGGACTGGTGGTGGGTGTGACAGTTGGACATAGTGATCACAAAATGATAGAGTATTCTTGGAGAAGTAAGGATGGGGATCAGCAGAACTACTGCCTTGGACTTCTGGAGGGCTGATTTTGCCTTGTTTAGGAGGCAGGCTGACAGACCCGCTTGGGAGGCAGTCCTGACTGGAAAAGGAGTCCAGGAAGGCTGGATGTCCTTCAAGAAAGAAATCTTAAACATGCAGGAGTGGGATGTCCCCATGTGCCGACAGACGAGCCAGTGGGGAAGAAGACCCTGCAGTCTAGGCTGAGGGCCAGGCGCTGCTTTCCATAGTTTTCCAATAAGCCCACAGTCTCATAAATTCACTCAGGTGCTTGTTCTGGCCACTCTGGAGAGAGCAGCAGTAGCTCCAGGTGCTGTTTCTTTAGGCACTTGCATTTTGGCGTTCAGGTTGGCAACTGGAATTAATTGAGCTCCATCCTGACTTTTCTCCCAGTCCCCTAGTGAAGTTTGCAGAGCTCCTGCTTTACTCTAGCTCACCGTTGCAGCAGTTTCCTCAAGGTTGTTGCTAAAGTCCTGAGTTCCCACCAGGACTGGGGTCGGACCTGGGTTTTTAACAAGTGGTTACAATGTCTTGCAGAACGAGGGGCCCCTTCTTGCAGCACATTGCAGGTACCTGGGTCTCAGGCTTGGCCCGGTCCCAGAGCTGATGTTGGTAGAGATAATAACAGAGGAATGCTCTTTTTTTCCCTTTGGAGCTACACTTTTAGTCACTTCTTCCCACCCTCTACCCTTGGGAGAAATGCAGCATTCACCTATCCAATGAATCTTGAAGTCACAGCAATTTCTTTTAATAAGGTGCTTTTACTAAAGAAAGGAACAATTAAAAAGTAATAAAAAACTAATTAAAATTCTTAAAAGCTCCATGTTTTTACCCATGTTTCATGTTGACCCCTGAGGGATGAGCTGCAGACATATCAAAGAGTTTGTGAAGTCTGACAGCCTCCTACGTAGGCATGCCAGGCTGTCCTCTGCCAGCCGGCATGATGTCTCCACGTCACCCCTGCCTCGGGAAACCAACCCAGACACCTCTTTTCCTTTATGCCCTGCTTCTCCCAGTGCCCCTAAAATAGCTCACAGACCCCTGCGTGGCACCCCCGTATTCTCTGGTGTAGCTGGTGGTGCTGGTGTTTCATTACTGATGCTTTCAGAGAGCAGCCTTGCGACCTTTCCTTGCTCAAAAGAAGTCCAACTTTTTTTTGGGAGGTAGAGGTGAACATTTGGTGATGCAGCCAGTATCCTCTTCCAGGGATGGAGAGGGGAATGGGAAAATCCTGAAGGCCCAGAGAGCATCTGCATGTGCCAGTATCTCTTTCTCACAACAAACTTTTCTCATGGCTAAGGCTGAACAACGTTTTTCTGCACTCATGGGGTTGATTTCTACTCACTCAAGCGGGGAGCTGAGCGCCTTCCCCGCAGTTTCCCCCCCCTCTCACAGTGCCTGCTGCTATGCCTGGGGGTGATGCAGTGGGTTGGGATTGAAATTGTGCTCCCTTGTGGAGTTTTACCATTTTAGTGCAAATCTGGAGGCTGTAATTTCAGCTCACCACTTGGCTTTCTTCAGGGTGGTGGGATGTCTTAAATAAGACCCTGCCTTGTCTGCACTCCTGGATTACACCAAAGTGACTTGAGATCTGGTGATAATAAGGTCTATAGAAGTGTCAAACAGTGCTTGTTATTTATTATTATTCAGAGTGTGTTTAACTCCTGGATTTGTCAGCAGCTTGATACAGAATCGTGGTCTTTTGGCTTGTTCCAGCATGCCCTGAGCTACGGAGGTGCTCACGACCTGGGGCCATGGGCTGCTTTACAGGGCACCTTCCTCCCCTTTTTTTCACACAGAAGAGTTGCAAAATGACTCCATATGCATCATAATGAGGGAATTAGCAAATTAGCAGCAGATTGTCAAACCAGTCCTGGGCAACTGTGAGACGCTAGTGCTGTGATAAAGCCCAGGGAACTTAAGGAGTCCAATAACTTCAATTAAGTCTGGCAAGATTGCAGGGGGAGATAATATCTTTTACTAAGCCTCTCTCTCTGCATTACCTCCTCTTCTCTCAAGCATCAGAGCCACAACCACGCTGTTACTTCAATTGATTTAGATGAACAGATTTACCTTCTGAGAGCCCTTCAGAGATTTATCTGGCTAATAACAAAGCTTTTATGAGAATAGTCAGTGCCCTAAATAAAAAGCAAGGTAATTAGTGAGTTAGCATGGTAGTCTACAACTATCTGCTTAGCATCTTTGGGCCTGGGTCGTCTTCTGCAGTGGCTGCTGTAACAGCCTGATGACCTGATTACAACACCTGCAAGGCTTTGGTGCAGCTGAAAAGGAAAGCAGGTAAGAAAAGCAATGTAATTGCTTAAATGGCTTTTCCATTATTATGCAAAGTGAAAATTAAATTAAATGGCATGCTTCCTCTGTGGAAGTAGAGGAAATAGTTTCAGAGCTATTTGTAATTTAGCAACGAGCATGTGCATGCACTGGGAGCCACTGGTTCAGGTCATTCCCTGAACCTGTGGGCAGCAGCGTGTTCGCTCAGCCTGTTTCTTCCCGGATGCTCTCAAGTGAGAGGATGGTAGTGGGTCTCATTCAGCGTCACTTCACGGGACCACGAGGGCTTAAATCACAGAGAAACAGCCACTTATACAAAAGCTCTTTGGGCTCCCAGAGAAGGGCTTGCTCACATTGCCATGGGGACCTGTTTTGATTCATCTCCCCAGAGAGGGGAAAAGAAGAAGGAAAGTTGGGGACATCCCTGCAGTTTTATCAGCATCCTGATGTTGAGTCTGGACACTGATAACATAGGATCATGGCTAGATACCTGCTGGAGAGATGCTTATGGTGTTGCTGGAGAGAGCCCAGCTGCTGTGGATGCAGCGACCAGAGCTGCTTCTTTCTGCTGTGAGATGGACATGGATGATGCTGAAGGTGACTCCGCCACATGAATCATGAAAAACCTGGCTCCGAGTGCTGGGAGAGGAATCGCAGGACTGGAAAATGCTGATTGTGGAGCCCAGAGCCAGCAGTTTTAGAGGAAGGACTGGTCTGGAAAAGAACAGGCAGCAGCCTGGCTTGTTTAAGACAGTTTTCTTTAATTTCCAAATACTGGCCTTTTGTGTTTGCTTGTGGCATGAGCTCCACAAAGGATCCTCCCTTCTCTGGTCCTAAGGCACTGGGGAAATAGAAAATATTCTCAGTTCAAGATGCTGCTACGTGGCAAGGGAAGGGCAAAAAGACCTTGAAACAGATTAAAGTTATCTAGAGTTTTGAAAATCTTGTTTTACATTCGGTTTCCTGCCCTGCCATTCGTTAGAAGAGTTGTTGCTCCATTAGCTTAATAGCATGATAGAAAGTGTACATTGCTTTTGGG